CGCTCTTCTTGTCTGTCTTGTGCCATCTTGCCATCACACGCAAATCCGTGAGGCCCCAAAGGATGATCACTGCCAAGGAAACCAAGACTTATAGGATGCAGCCTTCAAGATGGGCAGCAAAGGCACTGGGAGCAAGATCTGCTGCTCAGCTGCCGTCACCGAGGGCTGCCAGGCAGGCAGAGGCAGCTGCGAGGGTTCTGCGAGATTTGCTGCTGCTGTTCTGAGCTTCCTTCCTCTTTTCTCAACTCAAGATGTTGTACCCCAGTGGTATGGGGGAGGGGCATGCCGAACTGAGTGTTTCTGTGCACGCTACTGGCTGTAACACATAAGCAGGCAAAACGGAGTGAAACCAGTCATCTCCTGCACCACCCCCAAACTGGAGCTAAGCCGGAAGGCTACTGCGTACAAAGCCCAGCCACAGAAACAATCTCTAAACATTGGGTACTTGAGTTCTGAAACATCACAGGGGCCTTACTTCTTAAATAACACCCAAACTAGATTTTAAAGATTTGACTTCACAAGTTACTAGGTCTTAAAACTTTCTTCTAACCTGTCCCAGAAGGGGGATTTGTTTTTCATTACTGACTACCCCTCGTAGAAGGAATGAGGATAAAGCTGTAGCATTTCAAGCCTTGCCCTTCCCCTGCTATTCCTGTCCTTTTACTTTTAGAGGAAAAAGTACAAGAGTTTCTCTTTACTCTCTAAACAGATCAGCACTTTCTTAAAGACTTGCTTCCAAGACAAAACTTAGAAAGGCAATTTATTGCATATTTACAGCCTTTATTGTCTTTCACACAGGCTACTCTGTGAGCTAAATTACACAATGAGAATTTGGATGTGCAAAAATCAAGCCAAGCTGACTGTAATTTTGATTAAGGACAACATACTGGATCAAAAACAACTATGTCACCTTCATGCATGTTCTTCACTCGGTTTGGAATTAAGACAACAAACCGCCAGATACTGCTTTAGGAGATTTACTGTTTATCTCCTGCTCAGTACACCCAAGTCATGACAATCCTGTCCTCTGGATTTGACTCTGACAGTATTGCACTACATCTGTCACAATCTTTTTGATAACACAACACGTCAGTTCTTCATTTCAACCAGCAGTCATAAGAAGCACAGACTGTCATCTGTCCCATAGCGCATGGAATTGTGAAACCCGTTTCTTGAGGAAAACTTTACCACAGATATGCTTAAACTGCCCTAATCTAAACCATATCTACATACTCACTTAGCAAAAGGATTTAGCTAGTTATTTTAGGTTGGGGGAAAGAAACATTGAAATGTAAGCTGATTATTAAAGTGAGTTAGATTCTGAGCAAATTAAGATTATCTCCATTCAGACAATCAGCTTCATCTACAAATCCTAAATCTTTCTTCTCCAAGGAACATAGTTTATCTAACAAAATATTTTGAGGCTGAACCATTTAGTGTCTTAGTTTACTTTGTATCTTAAGTAACATCTTCCTAAACAGTGACAACCATCCTCCTTACACCTCTGAGTCCCTGCTGTAGCAAATCACCCCTTAGCAGATACTTTTTGGCCCAAAGTTCATGACTTGCATTTATTTTCTTGTTCTACGTTGCTCTTCCTCATTATGTTTCCCTGTAATACAAAGGTCCTGAGGAAAACTGTTCCTTTCTGGCATTCATTTAAAAACATGCTTCATCATGTAGGGCTAATAAAACGTAATTGATACAATACTAAGTTAGGAAACAAATTACCTAAACGATATACAAGAATTTCACTTCCTAACTAGGCTCCTATCTGCAATGCTTTTCTGATTCCCTGAATCTCCTCTATCTCAGAGATCTGATTCTGCAGGGTAGAGGACATCTGAATACCACCATATATTTGGACATAGCCCTATCCCCACCTCAAAGCTCATGTCCCTATTCTTAACATTCCAACTCACCGCTGCAAGTGCCCTGACTTGAGAAGGCAGACTTCTGAAGGCATTGCTGCTTCCCACCTGCTTTCCCCTTCCCCCAGCAATCAGCCTTGCACATGTCTGCTGTCACTTCCTCCTGTCGTACTTTCAGGATGATGCTTTTAGAACTCCTTATCTACTAGAACTCACTACCACTTTCCCCTCAGTTAGCCAAGACAATCTCATCCTCTTGACTGTGTCTGAAGAAGTCCTACCTAGGACTCTAACAAATTGATTGAGCAACAGTATCTTTTTCCATCTTTAAGAAGAAAATGTATCCTGAGTAAAGCATGCCTGGTAACACTAAAAGCCTATGCTCCTACAGCACACGACAAATCCCAACATGGGTCTAGAGAATTAAAGCAGACAATAGTTACACCCTTCACCATTAGAGGTTTTTATTCCAAGGATTTGCTGGTTTGTGTAATTCCCATTCCACATTACTATCCCACAGAAAACAGTGGACAGAATAAATCATCTTTATCACATACTTCCCCATCTTTTCATCAAGTCTTTTTTTCTAGGCAGAAGGTCTTTTACAGTCAAGGAAAAATATCCTTGCTTCCCCAAAAACTAAAAATCTTCCTGCCTAGGGAATTCACAGGTAGAACTTACATGTGGAGGGGTTATGGAGTAGGCAAAACAAGGCAGCAGATATTGCTATCACTTTCAGAAAACAACATCTCGTGAAACGACAATAACAAATTTTTGTTTATGCTGGTTTCCATCATACAGAACAACTGAAGCAGAATACAGTGGTTTTACTTAACTGCCTCTAAAATTCTATTATATGCCAAGATCTGACAGTAGAGTTGCAGGAAAGCAAATGAAACAAGGAAACAAGAAAAAAAACCCACACACGCATCTAGAAAGTATTTTCATGAACTTCAAAGACAATAGTTGCAGTATGTTATAGCACAACAAAAGCCTCAGTTTCAGCCATCTTCCCCCACCTGCTGGCTGGCATTCTGCAGATTTGAAAGCATGCATTTATTACCTAAAATGATCAAGACTACAAAATTAAAATAAGCTACAGCAGTCCAGGTAAAGCAGAAGCTTTCAGGGGTAACAAATCACTTTTATTCATTTGTTGAAATGACATGCTAGTTTTATTTGTAGTATTTTTAACAAGTCACTTCAATTTTTAAAAATTCAGAGATGTCATCTGCCAAGTAGTTCAACATATAACCATCTGCCTTAGTAGACAACCTACGATTCAGCACTCCCATTTCAAGCACAAGCATCCACTGTCAAGTTAGTGGGGGTTTTCCTCATTAAGATGATTATGTACTTGGTGGTTTTATGCTATTTGCAGCTCAGTCTAAAGTGAGAGTACACAAAGCTAACTCACCATTTGCATAAAAAAAGGTTCTTTTATCATTTTGTAGCATGAAAAACATGACTTCCTCCATGTAGTATTTTTGTTCATATGTGCAGTTAATGTCAAGAAAAGCAAGAACTGTTTCATGGATCTATTTTGGCTTCCTGTAATAGCAGAGAATATCTTAGCAAAAGTTAACAAGAAAAGATCTTCTCAGTTTGTGTAGATCACATTAATAAAAGACTCAAGGATTTGGATCCATAACAAATGTCTTAGATCAATGAAGTGATACAGATTTATGATGCATTCATTTATGATTTTATTCAACAAGAACAGTAAGAGCCACCAGGTTGTGCCTGATTTTAACTGCACAGAAATGACCTGGTAAATTCACAATGCATTGGGAAGCGACAAGCCACATCTGCTCATTTAAGTTCATCATATCTTTAGTCACTCCTGTTGTCACTCCCAACATGACAGTTCAGTATTTGTTGAGAGGAGTGACTGACAAGCTCAAGCCCCCCCTGCATAGTCATCGTTACCAGAGTCCCAGGCACTGCTTCTGAACTGGCCCAACTGGGAATGAGCATCTCAAACCAGCTGCCTCAAGTGCATTCAGCAGCCTCAGAGACAGTTAGCAATTTCTCCAAAAGCTACCTACAAGTGTTATACAAGAGCTTGTTTTTTCTCCCACCACCAGCCTGTACCAAGCACCACTACATTCCTACAGAAGATGACTTCACTTAAGACACTGTATTTGCAGCTTACAGTTGTATGTTATCTCCAAGTGTTCTGGTGGTGGTAAAATTCCAGTCAGCACCACAACTGCAGTGCAAGCTACCACATGAAACAGTGATTTGAGCAAAGCCAGAATACAACAAACAAGCAATTCTTTACATAGCATGTTTACTGCACCATTTTTTGGTGCCAATTCGCAGCATGTGACACAAGCTTGAAGCCGCATCTGTTGAACTACAGGGGCATGCTGGGAATCTGGGACTGCAGGGTGCCAACGCAGGTTACCATACAGTGGATCAAGCCATCAAAACTGAAACCCACCACGTTGTGAGAGTTCTCCCCATGATATTTTTTTTCCTTAAAGCAATTTAAAAGACCAAAGTCTTACAGGGCTTCTCTTCTGTACTCAGTCTTTTCCTTAGTGTGGCCAACCACTCACTAGATGGAGCTCTTCAACTGCAGCACAAGGAGTCAAATGACATCATCTTCAACACTGAAAAACCAAAATGAACCCACCTAAATGTTCTCTTCAGAATTACTCTGCATGAAGTGTCATCAGAAAGACACAGTAAGTTAATATCTGTCTCTTAAACAGTGACACACAACACCTGCATTACCATTTCTAAGCTTTTATTGACCAATACTTTTTTTTTAAGCAAAATACTTTCCACTAAATGCTTCATCTCTCAGTCAAAACATGGACAGCTTTAGATCAAAGGTTTGTGTCTCAAATGCACTACAGATAATAATTTAGAAAGGAATTGAAAGGTTTATTTTAATATTAGTACAAACACAAAAATTTGTATTTTCCAAAGAATACAATCCCATAAAATAATGATATGCACTTCTGCAATCAAGTCAGTCTGAAACTTCAACGATTACACAAGTGGAAAAAGTGTTAAGAATTCTGAACCCAGGACCCACAGGACTTTCTGGAGCACATGAGTCTGTTGACTTCAGCCTAAACTTTGTCTAGTCTGTCTAGCTCAGGATTGACCCCTGTCTTATCATGTAACATAACTTCTGTAGCAAACACTTGTCTTTCAGAACAGCAGGGTGTTTCCAACAAATAAAGGTTAACACGTCTTTAGAGGCTTAGCCAATATTGCAGACAAAGCAATGTTTCAGGTCACACAACCAGTGAGCTTGACAGGGAGCTTCCTTTGGCAAGTTAAGGTATCCTAAGTGCAACACTTATTAACATGATCATACTCTTCATAGAACAAGGCAGATCAGTGTCTACGTTAGGAACCTGTACATTCACACATGACATAATTCAACTCAAGTATTTAGCGCTGAAGCAGGACTCCAAACTGTTCAGGTCTCTTCCAGAAATATCAAGTTTTACTGCTGAGCACATTGTGTTTCTGCAGTTGGCTTAGAGGATACATGCAGTGTCGTATATTTTTTCTTTTGTCTTTTCTTCTCAGTCATGTTTTTATTTTCTTTCTTATCTTCTCCCATAGTTTCAAATCTGGACTCATCTGTTAACCTATAGGCAAAGCAATCATTCTAAATATATATTTAGTTAATAAAAAACAGGGCTAAAATAATAGTTCTAAGTGAAGTCAACAAGCCAGCTGGCATATACAAGACCATACATATGCAAAGACAGAGCAAGCCATGCTTAAGAACAAAATGATATAAAAACAAAGCATTTTTCTATGAGTGCTATTCACATACCACTTGAGGTATAGCCTCCCCTGCCTCATCTGCTGAAATGTTTGATAAAAAAGGTTACCTATTGTGTTAACTGGTTAGGATCAGCCTTCAAAAAAAGAAAACAAACCACAAAACCGATAGTGACTGTACCACAGACATAAAAGATCAAGTTCACAAAAGCAGAACCCCAAGTAAAAAGTCCCAGCAACACAAATAAAGCTTTGCTTTAACACCACCAAAAAAACCCCACTTCACTTCAAGCAGTATACTAGGTTCCATCCTAGTTCTACACTACTGCTGCCTTTATCTTAGTGCCCGAATGCCTGAAAAGAAGTCATTGTAATACGTTTCTTTTCAGGTTTGAAATTACAGATTTGTCCACTAACATGTTTTGATTCTGCTATTAATGTAAACAGGAATACAACTGCCACACTGCTATTGAAAAAGCACGCTAAGCCCAAGAATTAGACTTCTACACACAACCAGATGTTTTGATGGCTTAAAAATTACTTAATAAACACACAAATGTGTCACTAGAACAAACTGATAAATGGTGGTATTTACTCAACCAGGTCACCCACAACCAACTACTTACTACACACAATTATTTCCACAGCACAACAAATAACGAAGTCCCAAATTAAACATGGCTTTACATACCAACAAATCCGATGCTGACTCATCACCATAGCTGTTAAAGCATTTCTCTAGTGACAGTATGGATTTTCTGGTGGTCTCAAGAGCCCCCACTAAACAACCCACAACAACCTACAGCCGCTTTCAATGATAGTTCTCCAAGTACGAAGAGCTGCTAACCAGTTAGAAGTTTACCACACAGAGATATACAGCTGAAGATGAGCACTATGATAAAAGCTGCCACAAAAATGTTGGGGGAAATTTAGCTACATATTTTCCCCCCCCATCCCCATCTATCTTTACACACAAATATATCAAATTAATTTCATTCATTGCAAGCAACATGCATATTATTTCCTGTAAGCACTGAAGACAACCAGACTTTGCTGTGCATGTCCCCTAAGCCAGCAGTGTTTGCTCCACCATTTGCTTTGTGAGTTCGCATCAGTAATTCTGAGAGGTAACCATTTTTTGTTCATAGTCAGCTTTCCCCCAGCTGCTCCACATTTTAGATGGGCTGCTACTTCCAAGGTGCAAATAATGATGCGGTTACAAGAATAATCAATTATTCAGAGAAGGCAGAAAAAGCATTTCTCACTAATCATTTTCTGGCTCATGTTTGGTCTGCTGTTCTGTCTGTGCTTGCCTAGCAGCTGTAATTAGTGATTGACAGCTTGTGCCTACGGTTCTGTTCCTAGGGTAGACTACTTTCATTTGTCCTTCCACTTCTACCTTAAACCTACCTCTGTACAAGGCCACCAAAAACATTCATCTAGTGGCCAAAATTTCCAGCATGAATTCCCAATAAAAATAAAGAACAAAGCAGGAACTCAAACATATCAAAAGGCCAAATAAAAATTGAAGGGACTTAAATTGTGTTCTAAAGCAGCACAATTTGATTTATACCTAGTACTGTAAAAGAGGAGTGTTTTCTAATTCTGTTAGCATGTAGTGTGACAACTACATACACACAACTCTGGAAATGAAATTCACATCAGAGACATCACATTGTTCCATAAAAGTAAACAGCTATTATAATTTATTTGAAGAGAGAAAAATAACCTCTTTATGCTTTGAAAGCACACCAAAATGTTTATGCAAGTCAGCCTAAAGTAAGCCAACTTCATCAGACCAGAACTATGTTAATAAATCCCTAAAGTCATTAATCAGAGGACTGACACTGACTTCTGAAGATGAAATGAATGAGCCATTCCATGTTACTGAGCTATGCTTTTAAGTTAGTTACAGCTTTTAACTGGATCAGCAATAGATTGCCATAATTTTCCTCACTTGAAAAACCTTAATTTCTGGCAAAGGCCTCAAGAATAGCCCAAAGATTCAAATCACTGAGTTTTAACATGACAATGAACTGACTAACCAAGCAAATTATTTTTTCCTCTTTCATTCTTCCTATGTTATAGCTGGCCTGCAAATGCTCCAGGACCAATTACAGCCTACGAGCTGTTGAACCATAGTTTTATTACCATATGAATTCATTTTTTAAAAAAAAAAATAATTCACATTTTACTAGTATGCACTAGATCATGTCTACAGGCAGCTTATTTAACAAGAAAAAGGACAACTGGAAGAGTTCAGTTAACATATTCCAAAGTTAATTGTGGAACATGATGCTCAGCTGTTAAGTCTCATGGAACTCAAAAACCTGCCAGTCTCTTTTAAAACTGTCTCCTACTAGTGTCCATGATAATGAAGGAGCAGGAGAGGCAAGGTGTTAGGAACTGCAGCCCCCAGTCCCCACCTCTCTGTGCCACTCGGTGAAGAGGAGATCCAAGCTGGGAATCAAGGCAGGAAAGAAGGGTTGGAGGTGGGCTCACAGAAAGGTGGATTCATTTTTTACTGTGCCACATTTTTTAATTGACAGTGAGTTAGTCTTGCCCCGGTCAAGTTTGTCTCATTTGTATCTAATTGATTCCTGTCTTGAACTGAACCCATAAGCTTCTTCCATCTTATTTTCTCCCCTATCCTTTTGAGAGGGGGTTAGAGCAGCTGGGCGGGCATCTGACAGCAAGCCAAACTTAACCCCCTGCAGACCTCATACCAAGGCAGCTCACAGACCACCTCTTACAGCACTGTCATATTTCACTAAGTGTTAGCAGAGGAAAATGGATGGATCAGAAAAAAGAAAGCATGTGAAACTGTAACATAGTTCTATCAAACCTCATCTCTGTAGACTCCAAAAATGACATCTAATGGGGGTTCCTTCCACCCACTGAAGGAAGATAAATTAGTCTCATCAGGTGGAGCTTTATTTCTTGAGAATGAATGCCATGCCTAAAATCCCAAAGAGTATTAGTTACCAAGATCTCCTCCAGAGCCAAATGCCTACAGGCATTTGGACAAAGTCCAAGTGAGGTAATTTGGTATATGTAATCTAACTACACAACATAAAAGAGCAAATAAGCTCTTAGGCAACCAAGCCCTTCTTTAGATCTAACTAGAGCAAACAACCTCAAATTTAAATGCAAACTAAGCTGGGCAGAAAGGGCTAGGACTTGCTGTTTCAGAGGTGAGGAAAAGCATTTAAATACAGAGAAGTATCTCTTTATTGACCAGCTAGCCTAACAAAAGTTAGCACTACCTATAACCTTTGGATTGTCCAAATTACAGTAGCAATCAACAGCAATCATGACTTTTAGATATTGAAATTTTTTAGTGTCAACTACCGTTTTCTCAATACTCACATAGCATATCCTCATCAGTAGCATTCCAAAGAAAGCATTCCCATGCTTACTCAGTTTAGACCTGTGCAACTAAACAGTCACACACGGCAGACAGGTAGATAGCCTATTAGTTCAGCTCACCCAGCCTGACCTTGCTAAACCACATGAGCAAGCAAGACTCATCAAACAAGGAAGTTTGTCACCTGTACAAGTACATACAGATCACCTCTGACCATCGCCTCCTAAGCTAAGCTGACAAAGCTTTTCTAACAGCATGTTCTAGACATGAAGTTTCCAATCTGCTTGCAGAGGTATTAAGGCTCTTTTCACTGCCAGATTTCACAGACCAATCATGAGAAAGGCAGACCAATTATTCCATAAAAGCTACTGTAGTTACATAAGTAACCCCTGATGAGCACAACAGCCTTGTTATCCGTAGCATCGCGTTTTACTTCACATGAGGTGAAACACTGAAAATGATCTACCATGCACATGCCCATTATTTTCTCCTGCTCCAAACTCATTTTCAGGTCCACATTCCAGCTTAAGTTGCCAATGTTTTTTGTGCCTTGGCATTCAGCTATAGTAGGGTTTGGCCACAGTCACAAAACAGTCCAGGCATTCTTTTAGTGTTTAGAAATCAAACTTCTCAAATACTCAGATTTGATCATGACTTAGTATTTCATAATAAATCACAACAGATCAATGTTAAGTAAATCCTCAACGTTTTCTCAACAACATCATTAACTGAGGATTTAGTAGTTCAACAGTCAGAAACACGGACAGAAACTTTGCCCTGGATTTCCATTTTACAGGTTCATACCATCCCTGAAAACAACTTACAAGCTTATATGGAGTTTTATGGCAGTTCTGTTTTTGTGTTGTGAGGTTGTTTTCTTTCTTTTTTTTTTTTGGGGGGGCGGGGGGAGTGTTTAAAAACTCTTGATTTGTGTTTTGTTGCTATTTGAACCAAACACAATGGGTGCAAGATGACAACCCTTCTTCTGAACTACAACTTGATCTTCCTTTTCCCCTTTTTCCACTCACTCTGCTTTCAAACATCAACTCCAGAAAAGCATTTCCTCTCCACACGCCCCCTCTGGCAGGTTCACCCATTCAGCTCACCTAGCTGTTTCCAATAAATTCCTGTTTCCTGCTGGACACAGTATCTTCACCAGATGAAATGAGCAATGTAATAGAAGTTCTTCACAGCCAGGTTACATGCTAGCTGTCCCTTGGTGTGCACAGAACACTGTCAGAACACAGTACCATCACTAAATTGTTGAAGCTTTCCTCTCTACTTTCATCACCCACATCCGACGTCCTTCGTCTTTCCTCCTCAGTAACACTCCCTGCGTATTCTGACATAGCTACTTAAATTGCTGTTTCTGCCACATTCTTTCCAGAATGTTTCAGATGGTACTGTTTGGTTACTTTAAATATGTTAATTGCATCCAATACAACCTTGACCAACCCATCCCAGACACAACATGCCAATCTTGTTACCTCTGAATGCCATTCATTTCAGATATCCTATACGGATTTCCATGTGTCAGGCCTTCATCTTTCAAGCTGCTGTCAATCTCAACTGAATAAACTACTTTTACTAGCAGCTGTAAGCTCAAAAGTATCTAGACTATCCTAGATTATTTTCCTTCTCCTGAACACCCAAACACATTTTTACAAAAATTACGAATATCAAAAAAAAGTAAATGGATTAGCTGGGTAAAAAAAAACAAAAACAAAACAACAAACAAAACAGCATTGCTTTCACCAGGATGAAAAAAGTTGGAGATAATGACTGTTCTGAATTGCTTTACCATATATCCATGGCTAAGTTGAATTCTCAGTTCAGGGGAAAGACTTGATTTTGCTTGAGCAGTTGTGCTAGTCGTTATCATGCATTCAGATGATGGAAATCAGCTGTCTGACAACACAAATAGCCTACTTAATTTGCTATTATCCTGCATAGCGCAAGTTCTGTTAACCCAATTCAGATTAAAAATTACTTAAGTAGTTCCTATGCTTTTGGCTAAATCTGAAAGTTGAAGAGGGCTGAAATTCCGTGTGAAACTGTAGCATGATACCTATCACATTAGTTACTTTGGTACACAACACCAGTGTGTGGCAGCTTTGAAGGCACCAAGCAGAGTCCCATTTCTGAAGTTAGAGCAAACAGCATGAGCATCATGCTAGCTGCACACCTTGAACTTTTTCATGTAATGGGAAATTTCCAAGATTATTACAGTTTCAAGAGTCTTTGCCATTAGTCATTGTTTTAGTCTTTCTAAAAGGTATTGAGAGATTCAACGCAGGCAGCTGGAGCTGAGGAATTACACTGCATGCAACACTGAGGAAATAGATAAAGAAGTGGATAGCACAGTTCATGCAGCGAAAGAAAAGAGATGCAGGTCTGTGCCGATTGCCTGGACTGTACACAGAAGCTGACACTGACCTGGGGGCAGCTGAAGTCAAGGAATTATTCCCACTTCTGCTACATGAAGTAAAAGCATCATGTTTTTCGTCTTTAGTTTTAGCTCTCTTTCTTTCAGGTTCAGGTACTTTCTGCATTGGATGAAGAGCTATATTTATTGGTGGTGCTTCAAGAGCTTGTTTTGTTGGAGAAGCATCACTTGGCTCCAAGTTCTTGGAGGTTATCTTCGTTTCCTCCTTACTGACCAATTGAGTGAGACCAGCTTCTTTGACTGAAGTACTTCTGCTGTCCAAGTATTCACAAGTAGTGTCCACTGGAATCTTCTCTCTCTTCTTTTTAATTTCAGCACCCTTAAGTAACTCTAGGAAAAACAGAATTTTTTTTGTACAGAAGTGAGGCTGGAGTTAACTTGTCCACCAACATGTACATAATGCAACTAATAAACATTTCACGTGACTGAAGAGCTTGTCATAATTCTTAATAGACAACTTAGTTATCTTAAAGAATATCCCTTCCCATAATCTTTTATCATCAGGTAAGCATCCCAGTAGAAATTAGCTCACAAGAAACAAAAATCTGTCTCCCCATCTTTTTCCCCCATCCACTCTGCCTTTTTATCAAGGCTTTTAATTTGATGCTCTAAACTACACAAACACGCTCAATTATTTTATTTTCATTTTGAAGGCTGACGAGGTAAGGTTTTACAACTCAGGTTTTAAAATGAAATCCTGGGACAACTTACAAAAGCAAGTCACCCAACGGCTTCCCCATTCACCTTCCTCCACAGGCTACAACTCCTTTGTGCACATACCCAAGGATCAGCTCTTTTTCAGTTGGGCCTCGGCTGTCACAACTTAATCTGTATTAACTTCAGCTACTGAACAGTTTCTTCTCCAAACGCTTTGCACTTCTTCCAAAGCTCTTACCAGCTGCCTACATTCAGAAGCTGGTACTTCTCCTCAGACAGATAGTGCTACTATTAGGAAAAGCACCTCCTGAATTTGTTCTCACCTACCTCACTATGGCTATCTAGTGATACTCTATAAAGCCTCTGAACACTCATCTGTAGTCTTTAGTCTTCTGAAATTAGCATTAGTATGCGTATTGAAGTGAGCTCCTCAAGCAACACAGCACTGCTTCAGTAGTTTTTGGACCAGGCTATTATAAAAAAATATGGCTATCTAAACATCAGTTTATATCTGGAACTAACTCAATGTCTTCCCACTTAAAGCTGTTCAGCTTGGAAAGTTGAGAAAACTGCCTATTTCTTTTTTTTTCCTCTAAATGCAGAAGTAACACTTACCTTCAGGTTCATATTTCATTTTTAGCTCATCCAGCATAACTCTCAAGTTCATGTTCTCACTCTGACAAGCTTGCAATTGCCTTTCATTTGTAAAGAGTTTCCTTTCAACTTCCAGAACCCTTTGACTTTCATACAGAGCTTTCATCCTCTGCAAGGATAGTTCATTTTTCAAGGTTTCAGTTTCCTTGCTAGTGGGAAGAAAATTATACAGCCATTCAGACTCAGGTTTTTCTTGGATTTTTGGCTGGTTCGTTCTCCTAATAGCAACCACAGTGAGGCGACAGACTTTTCAGGAAATCCCACAGCATACCATTGCCTCCTGCTGGGATGTGCAATACTTTCAGCTGTGGGATTAAAAACAGCCCTGAGGCTAAACACTGAGGATTTTCTAATTAACAGATACGGAATTCACTAGCCAAAGAACACATCCCAACTAAATAGTCCAATAAAACATTTCAAGAGTTATTATCTGGTTCTTTTTTCAGGTGAATACAACCTGTAGTTTTAAAAGTTCTCAATTGTCTAGGAGTATTAACAACATTTCTAGAGGAAAGCAACAGTAACGTACAGTAATCATAGAATCATAGAATCAT